CATCTGTCTGTCCATCCATCTGTTCGTCCATCCAGCCATCTGTCTGTCCATCCATCCACTCAGCCATCCATCCAGCTGTCCATCTAGCCAGCCATCCAGCTAGTCATCCAGCCATCTGTCCGTCCAGCCAGCCAGCCATCCATTTAGTCATCCAGCCATCCATCCAGCCATCCATCCAGCCAGCCATCCATACATACGTCCAACCATCCATCCATCCATCCATCCATCCATCCAGCCGTTCATCCATCCATCCATCCGTCCGTCCGTCCGTCCGTCCATCCATCCACCACTTATCCATAATCAGGAAGCAGGTCCAGGTGTGAAACCAGACCTCCCTCTCCCCAGCAACACTTTCCAGCTCATTCTGGGGAACCCTGCGGTGTTCCCAGGATAGAGAAGATCCACAATCCCTCCAGTGACTTCTGGGTCTTCCCCAGGCCTCCTGCCATTGGGAAGTACCTGGAAAACCTCTAAAGGGAGGTGTCCAGGAGGCATCCTAATCAGATGAACCACCACAGCTGACTCCTTTCAGTGCAGAGGAGCAGTGGCTCTACTCCGAGCTCCCCCCAGATGACGAAGCTCCTCACTCTAACTCTAAGGCTGAGCTTGGCTACGAGACCTGTCACGTTAGCAATTTTGCTGGGCGATTAATTGTCTCGGAAATTATTGCGATAAACGATAATATTGTTTGAAATTTGACAACTAGTAATAATTGTCAAATTTAAGAAGTGTTTAATTTGTTTTATATGTAGTACCTTTTTTGACCACTGGATGGCAGTAGAAGGCGGTTTGAACTGAAGGATGGATAGTGAGGGAGTGAGCAGTGTGTCTCTTTAAGGAAAGTGGGAGGGAGGCCCCTTGACGTGACATGGGCCGTCTCTCTTCAGTTCTTAAAATGGCGGACACGGTGTGGTTTGAGCTCTTTAGCAACAAAGTTCATGCTCAATCATCCGGGTACCAAATCCAATAATTCTCAGTTGGGTCATCTGGACGGTTTCTTTTTATAGAGACGTTTCGCCCTCTATCCAGAGGGCTTCATCAGTCAGAGGAGTTCCAGTAAACTTTCCCCACCAAGCAGTAAACTCCTTAAGTGGACCAACCAGTTGATGAAGCCCTCTGGATAGAGAGTGAAACGTCTCTATAAAAAGAAACTGTCCAGATGACCCGACTGAGAATTATTGGGTCTTTAGCGTAGCATTTTTCACACAAAGCTTTTAATTTAAAAAAATCAGTAAACAAGTTCTCAGCTTCTTTTTGCAAAGAAAAACTTTTTACACGAAGATTTCAACTGAGTTTTGGAGCTTCGACAAGTTTTTTCCCCCAAGGTCGGCCTGTTAGCTTAGCTCGTAGCTTAGTTTCTCAGCTTAGTTTCCTTTAACGATCCAAAAACGTGATTTTGGACGGCTAGAACAGATTTTAAAGAGAAAAGGGAAAGAGAGGGGTCAGAGAAGAGCACCGGAGTTGAGCCTTTTGTCATCCAGTGTCTTCAGTAGAAAGAGAGAGACACGAAGAAACGATAAATTAAAATGAGGCTGATAATTTTCATTCATCATGCGATTAATTGATTTATTGTTTATGGCGACAGGATTAATGGCTATCCTGTGAAGGAAGCCCATTTCAGCCGCTTGTATCCAGGATCTCGTTCTTTTGGTCATGATCCAAACCTCATGACCACAGGTGAGGGTCGAACAGACCAATAAATCAAGAGCTTTGTCTTTCCACTCTTCCTTCACCACAACAGACTGAAGCAACGCCCTCATTACTGAGGACAAGGCACCAATCCGTTGCTCCATCTCCCGCTCCATCCTACCATCACTCATGAACAAGATGACCAGATACTTGAACTCCTCCACATTCATGTCCCAGAAACTAAAATCTGGACAGTTTAACTGTAGCAGAGTTTGTAAAACCTGAACGACGTGGACGATGTTATCGATTTCACTCCACTGAGCGACTAAACCTTAAACACATACAGTAACAACATTTACTTTGCTTTACAGGACAATAAAACCAGTAAAGCACCAAGTGAAAGTGTTTTATCTCGTTCCATTTAATGGTTATAATCTTATTACTCTGAAAGAACCGATAAAATCCTAGAAAAAAGCAGGATTAATAAAAAGGAGTAAGAATAAAATCATTCCCAAGTGCTAAAAGTGAAATAAAGCACGACCGAAATTAAAATAATTACTGCAAACATTGTTTGAACCTGACCTGGCTGATGTCACCCCCACCCAGTCCCACCAGGGTGGGGAACCAGTCCGTGATGTGGAGAAGAGCTTTGGAGACCCGTCTCCTTCGTTTCAGCAGCGGGCTGTGCACGAACGCCACGCCGCGGACTCCACCCTCCCAATACGTGCCCTGAAACCAAAACCAGAGGGTTTAACTGGAAACTGCGTCAGACGGCAAGAGAAGTCTCTTCAAATACAAAAAAAACGTCTGAACGAAAGAAAATTTAACTCTTAATTAAACTAAAACTGTCATGGAGCCAAGAGCTTTGTTGTTCAGGGTCGGAGCGCTGAAGCACCGTGCATGACCGTCCTCTCCAGACTGGGAGTGAGGTTCTGCCTCACGTGGAGGACTTCAAGTATCTCAAGGTTTTGTTCTTGAGTGAGGGATCAATGCCAGGCCCGTCGCTCATGACTGCAGTTGGCTCCAAACGCCGCAGCTTTAACTCGAACACGAGAACATTTCTCCCCGGTCCTGGCTTCCCTTCATTGCTTCTGTTTTAAATTAATTTTATTGATGACCTAAAATATCCTGACTAGACAAGCTCCTGCAGCCGTACGTTTGCTTTGGTCTGTCCTGCGCTCCAGGCTGGTCCACGGAGGTGATCGGGCCTTTTCAGTTGTAGCTCTGTGGAACCAGCTGCTTGTTAAAACATTTGTCTGTCACAGAGGAGAGCGACAGAAATGCTTTTTATTTGTGCAAACGTTCACGTTTTTGTTCATCTGAGGGATTTGTGACGTCAGAAAAGCCAAATTCTCACTAAAATACTCTCAAACTACAGACGACCTTATTTGTAGTCCATCTTTTTGATGACACCTTTTTCAAGTCTTTGTTCCTGCAGTTTGCTTTAATTCTGTCGTCGGAGTGGTTTTTCTAACCTTTCGGCCTCGAAGCGGCCAGTTGCTGCCTCCTATGAGAGGCTGGGCGCCGTTGTCAGTGGAGTAGATGATGACGCTGTTTTTGTAGTAACCATGCTTCCTGAGGGCGTAGGTGACGTTTCGGACCGCCTCGTCCACCGTGGAGACCATGGCGGCGTATTTTCTCCTGGCGACGTTGGCCATGTCTCGGTACGGGTAGATGTAGGACTTGGGGGGCTGCAGCGGGGTGTGAACTGCCTGCAGGAACAAAGTTCATTTACTCGCTTCGGTTTCACCTCTGAAACAGAAACCAGGTCCTTCTACAAGATGTCTGAATAAAAGTCATTGGTGAAGCTGAGAAATGACACAGGGCTGAAATTTAATGAACAAAGGTTGAAACTGAGTTAAGGCTAAAATAAATGGAACACTAGCTAAAAGCTAAAAGCCAAGAGCAGCAATCACCAACTAAAATAAAGCAAAATGCAAGCTGAACATTAAAAGGCTAGCTTGAAGCTTAAAGTAGCAGAACTGTAGCTGAAAGTTGCACAAGTGTCGTTATAAGTAGTAAAACTGTAGCTGAAAGTTGCACAACTTTAGCTTATAGTATCAAAACTGTAGCTAAAATTTGAACAGCTGTAGCTAAAAATAGCAAAACTGTAGCTGAAAGTTGAACAGCTGTAGCTAAAAATAGCAAAACTGTAGCTGAAAGTTGCACAACTATAGCTAAAAGTTTAATAGCTGTAGCTAAAAATAGCAAAACTATAGCTAAAAGTTGCACAGCTGTAGCTAAAGTAGCAAAACTGTAGCTAAAAGTTGAACAGCTGTAGCTAAAATAGCAAAACTGTAGCTAAAAGTTAAACAGCTGTAGCTAAAAATAGCAAAACTGTAGCTGAAAGTTGCACAACTATAGCTAAAAGTTTAATAGCTGTAGCTAAAAATAGCAAAACTGTAGCTAAAAATAGCAAAACTGTAGCTAAAAGTGGCAAAACTGTAGCTAAAAGTTGAAAAGATGTAGCTAAAAGTAGCAAAACTGTAGCTAAAAGTTGCACAGCTGTAGCTAAAATAGCAAAACTGTAGCTAAAAGTTGCACAGCTGTAGCTAAAAATAGCAAAACTGTAGCTTAAAGTGGCAAAACTGTAGCTAAATTTTGCACAGCTGTAGCTAAAGTAGCAAAATTGTGGCTAAAAGTTGCACAGCTGTAGCTAAAGTAGCAAAATTGTGGCTAAAAGTGGCAAAACTGTAGCTAAAAGTTGCACAGCTGTAGCTAAAATAGCAAAACTGTAGCTAAAAGTTGCACAGCTGTAGCTAAAGTAGCAAAATTGTGGCTAAAAGTTGCACAGCTGTAGCTAAAATAGCAAAATGTAGCTAAAAATAGCAAAAATGTAGCTAAAAGTTGAACAGCTGTAGCTAAAATAGCAAAACTGTAGCTAAAATTTGAACAGCTGTAGCTAAAAATAGCAAAACTATAGCTGAAAGTTGCACAACTATAGCTAAAAGTTTAATAGCTGTAGCTAAAAATAGCAGAACTGTAGCTAAAAGTGGCAAAACTG